TGGCATTCTGTAAATTCCAAGGAACAGCACCCAACTGCCAGTAACGGTAAAGAATTTATATAATTTCACCTAAGCAGCTCTGTTTAAAGTCTGTTGATAGAGCTGAGTTGAAGGCAGCATGGAAGTGTAAACCCTGCATATATATGAAGTGGCAGCCAAACAGCCTTTCTGATACTGTGTTGGCTTCTTATGTGTTCCCTGTTTCTGTTTCCAATAAGAATAACTCACTCTTTTATATTCACTATGTATTCACCAGAACTAATCTGTTGAGTCTTGACATCCTAATCTATGCACTTTTATATAGCATATGCAAAGGGCAAAGCTTATTGGAAAAACACAAATGAAAACATAGATATTAGATAGCTAGCAGTGATAAAAACATTTAAAATGTGCATAATAATAAATGTCTTGGCTTAAGAACGTAGTTTATTTTATCTGTAGCAACATAAACCCTTGTTTTTTACTGAGGAAGAATATATTTTGTTGGTAGCATCACAGGATTAGAATAACAAATATGATTATGTTTACAACTACAAATTATGTGAAAGGATTTCTTAAGATTTCTTAATTGGAACTGTTACATTGAAATAGAGAATATATATATTAAATGTACCTGGCCATTATTTTCCTTGATTTCCTAAGTTAATTTTTTAAATGAAGGTATTCTTCCTCCAAGCCTGGCTTCTCCATTGGCTTGATCCTACACTGAAGTCACCATAATCCTATATTTGTTACATCAAAGTCAGACCAGGATTAAATTCAAGGACGAATATATGGGTTGTACGAAGAAAAAATCCTTGCTCAATCACAACTAATTTTTAGCATAAGCCAAAATCTATTAGGCTTTGTTGACAAAGGGCCACGTGCGGAACAAGTAGGGCTCTGAGTGACACCTGAGAGTGTATACTGATAAAGAAACTTTTCTGGTTGAATGACCTCAGCCATCTCTCAGAGTGATAGGCTTCTACCTACTTTGACTTCCATTGTTAGCATGATGCTTTCTCCTATTGTGGCTTATTGGTGGAGGAGTTTGTAGTGAGTTCATGCCTGGTGAACAAAACTGTGATATTAATGGATGTTTTGTAAAAAAATTATGTGTGCAGAAGCTATTTCTGTGCATAAAAAAGAAAGGTCCCCAACGTTTCCTCTCCTCTTATTAGATATGTACCATTAAAAATGAGACCATTGTAAATGGTAGGAGAAATACAAATGAAACTGATATGGGCAGTAGTTCAGCAAATGAAAAGTTCACAGTACATTTAACATCATCACAACAGATGTGAACTCACATGACGATGATGCAGATGATGAAGATTCAACTTAAGAGCCTTTAAAACCAATAGTGTTTCCTGTATGGGACATAAATGATGTCAAGAACAAGTATCCTCCAAGTACTAGTAAAGAAACTGATATATATATATATATATCAGTTTCTTTACTAGTACTTGGAGGATACTTGTTCTTGACATCATTTATGTCCCATATATATGTTTTACTTGATGTGGCCTATTCTTTATAACTATATTGCAGAAAGATCGGTATTGTTTTCAGTAGAATTCAACTCTGGAAAGAGGTCATTTTGGAAGGAATCCACCTGAAAAGCATTTCTAGTACTGCAAAGTTAGGACAAATGATTATTTGTAGAATGAATAGTAGCCATCGTTGCTCAGAATTGGGAACAAGATGGAACATCTGCATTCTACATATGGGATTCATAAAAATAGTGTTGCTTTTTACAGATCCAGACTAACACGGCTACCCCTCTGATAAAAATAATACTGTGTTCAGAGAAGTACAAATATTCTGAAGAGGTCCTGAAGTCTGCACAGTTACTGTAGAATTATATGATTTCTACTGATGTGCATACTTGACTGGCATTATAGATCAAATGGGAGAGGAGTGATTTCAGTAATTTACATGATGCTCTATATGAAAAATTATTTCCTTTTCTAAACGTTCATGAGATCTGTATGGAATAATGATAGTTTATGTCTTGCTATTTGAAGACAACATTTTATGCATGGCATCAGCTAGAGGAAAAGTTCAATAACTTTTATTAAAAAGTGTTTGTGTCTGAAGTGGATTTTGCTGGTGCGTGTGTGTGTGTGCAACGTGGCTCTTGCTATAGGCCTGGTCTTTGGTAACATCAGCTGCATCAGGATCTCCCTGGAGAAAGAAGCTAAATTAACAGACTCAGTTTTCTTGTGGGACATTTTTTCCCTTTCTCTTATCTGGATGGTTTTTTGTTTGCTTGCTTGCTTGGTTGGATTTTTTTGTTTTTGTCTCTGTTGTTTCATCTGTTCTCATGCCAGTGTATGGGTGCCTGTTCCACATACTGGCCCAACTGGTCTTATGGAAATCAACGCCTGTAAATTGATACTTTAGTCACACTTGCGCAGCCCAGTGCAGACTACATGGACTTCTGTGGCATTTGCAAGGACATGTAATTGGTCTGGGCCACTGTAGCTGAGCACTGTGTATATTGTTCGGACTGGGACTATTGTTTTTTCTTGCAACTAATCAGTTACCAAACTCACTGATACCAGAGTTTCATGTCTTTAACCCGCATTCATATTCAGTTTATTGGCATGAGCATATTTATGGGTGAAAGTGGATTTTAACTTTGCAAGGAAAAAACTTTGCTCAGCACATAAAAAAGATCACCAATGATTTAACCATTGTCCTAGCAGCTGTGAAGCCCGTTCATGAGGAAACCTCCACCCAACCTCAATGGAATCAGTTTGCTGACTCTTGGTGGTGGTGGTCCCATCCTGACCACAAGGAACAGCAACCTACTCAGGCAACAGGGGGTAAAGATTTTAAATATTAAATCATGTACTTTGTCTACAGTCTGAATAAATAGCAGGACAGAAATACCAGCTTCACGAGAATATCCAGTCACCATGAATTTGTATTTCTGATGCCATATGAGTTCTCTCTTTAATCTTAAATTGTGTTTTGAATGGGAAAATACAGACCCCACCCTTGGCTATCACCTATCATATTAGCCAGATGACCCTCGAAGACTTGGTCTTGGCTATGAAGTAGTCATATCTTAAAAGGAAGGAATTCTATATAAATTAAAGTGATATTTGAACTTCAGAAGTTCTCTTCTTTTCATTGTTTGTGACATGCCTGTGATGATTTTTTAGCTTATTTCTAGCTGACAGGGTAAACATTTTGTTCATTGCGTGAACAAAGAAACAGAAATAGTCTTTTAAAAAATGTACATTGCAGTAAAGGATTTAATGTGTTTTTATATGTAGACTTTCACCATGAAGATGATTTGGAAAGAAGAGAACATTTATACTAAACTAAATGTACTTGAAACTGTACTTTTCTGGGACCCTTTGTTATTCAAGATAAAACTCTTTTGTCCTATCACCTCTACTGTAACCCAAGAGATTTAGGCCTTGCTAAAAACAACACTATATACATCCCTTTAACTTTTATTGACATCTTGGAACAGTCATTCATAGATCCAGAAACAACTGGTTGTGTTGGTTTTATGTCATCAATTATCCCTGATTTCAGAGGAGCATTTAAATGCTCTTGATTAGTTTTGACTTCCATAATCCCATTTCTTGTAGAACAAATTGCCTTCTGCTGCTTGGCCAAGTGTAGGGGGTAATAATCTACATTCAGAACATTGTATTTGCTAAGGGAAAGTCTGATGTTACTGAGTGGTTTGCCAGATTGACAGCAAGCTAACTTATTTCTTACTGTGCGAGGACAGCATTGTGTGGTGGAAGAAAAGTTCAACAACATTATTTTTAAAATGTGTTATCTACTTTAATAGTCTTACTATAGTTGGGCTGTTCTTGTATGACAAAGGTTCTTGCTACACAGACAGATCTTGGGAATATGTGGCTTCTGTCCCATGAAGGGAAAAAAATCCTAAACTAACACAAACTCAGTTTCATTTGGGATTTTTCTTTCCTTAAAATCTGAAATTTCCTTTTGCTTCATATCTTTCTGTTCCCATGTTTGGTGTGCATTCCACATGCCTGGCCAACTCTGCTCTCACTCTCACCCATGCAATTTGTGTGGGCTTCTTTGGTGTTCTATGGTGATTTCACAGGCATGTAAGTAACCTGGGAATTGAGCATTTTGGCCTTAAATTTCAAAAGCGACTAGTGATGTGAGGTTTCTCTATTTTTCGGCGCCAGATTTCAGATACCTTAAAGCAACCTGATTTTTAGAAAGTGCTGAGCACTTGCCCATGCAAATCAGACCCCTGTAAATTGATACCCAAACTCACTAGACACTTTTGAAAATTTAAGTCATTATATCTTTTTCTGGACAGACTACTCTCTTTTCTTCTACTGGTCTTTACTCATGAATTGATGCCAATTCTGCACATACATTCATTTTATTATTGGCATGATTCCACTTTCAGGTGAAGGTGTTTGTAGATTTCAGCTTTGTGGTGTGGCTTTAGTGCTGTTACTAGTTGGATTTTTCTAGCCTCATCTCTTTGTGGTTCAACAACTGCACCTTTAACAGGAAATGTGGGATGTGCCATATTATAATGTATTTTACGAAGCACTGTAATGAGATCAAATTACATTTTCTCTCTGTGTTCCTGAATTGGCTAACTACCTAATTCTCTAATATAGCAAAAAGGATACAATTACAGTTACATGGATCAATGTAAGAAAATTCTGAAAGTTCAGAGGCTACAGTCAAACCTCAATTAAAGGTGCAAGTTGTTGCTTCTGCCTGTTCAGTTACTGCTGCTGCTTTGCCTCTGAAGACCGTGGTACTCTGTAGCAAGAACATACCTTCCAATACCAGGATGATGTAGAAGAAGTGGATTAGAAAATCCATTAACCTATCAACAAACCAGAATTCCCACTTGACTCTGCTCCAGTTTCCTTGCAATTTGTATAGTTGTAAAAGAGATACATTGGGTATAGAAAAGAGAAGAACAGAAGCTGAATATATTATGGACTGAGCCAGTAAAAAAATCACAAATGATTGAACCATTGTCCTAACAGCTGTCAACCCGCATCATGGTGCACATGAGGAAACTTCCACCCAACATGAGGGGAATCCGTCCCCTGACATTTGGTGGGGGTCCACTACAGATCACAAGGAGCAGCATCGAACCACAGCAACTAAGGGTAAATAATATGTCTTTTTAACTATTAGTGTTTGATTAAGATCATCTGATAAGTTAAGTAACAAGTCACTTTACAATTCCAATAATGGCCTATTGATATCTGGTGGCTGTTAAACAGCCTTCTTAATGCTCCATAAGGGAGAAAAATACTTTTTCCTTCAGATTCTACTCTCTTAGAGCAGGACTGTATCTGGAAGGCACAAGTCCACATTGGGAAAGAGTGAAGTGACACTGCCCCAATGAGAACACCGGAGTAGCCCCTTCCTGATGAGGTGTATGCCCACTGCTATTCCCATGCTCTTGATTTAGAAATCTCTCCTTAGCACATCACTTGTTCACTTCCAGAAACTCTGCAAGTTTTATGTGTTCAGTTAACCATGATTATATGCTCTTTTTTTATTTTGACCCCATGGTTAGCAGCACACAATGTTTTTTGCCTTAATGGTCCCTGGGTCCGTTATAGATGGGAAAAATTACAGAAATCTCATGCCTGCTAAATAGAATCATTATGTCAACAGATGTCAGAATGACCTGAAAACCCAGGGCTTCCTAAGGGTGAGATGACTTTCACTTATTGTGTCATGTCAGAATTACATTGTGGGTTCTTCAGGGAAGGGAGCATATCTCTAATTGCTTTATGAGTTTTAGGCACATTTTGGGGTGCTCAAAAATAAATGCTATAAATAAGATAAACAATAATCATCATCATCATAAACAGCAATAGATTTTCTTCGTCAAAGAAGGCACCTCTCTCCACATTCTTTCTTCTTTGCTAAATAAACCTCTAAAAAAGCACAACCAATTATAAAGGCAAGAAAGAATAAAGATGAGAATTATTCAAGTGATGATGGTGGTGGGTCAGCAAATGCAAAGTTTACAGGAGGTTTAACATCATTGCAACAGATAAGGATTCACAAGAATATGAAACAGATGATGAAGATTTACTGCAAGATCCATTACACTCTGGATGGGACACAAATGATGACATGGAACAGCACCCTCCAGTTACCAGTAAGAGTAATGAAATCTAATCATTTTATCTAACTTACTATATTTAAAGCAAAATGACATACCTCAGTAAAGAGTGGCATCTGGTGCCATTTGCACGAGTAAGCAAATATGTCACATAGCTCAGAAATCTGTCAAGGGCCACCAGAAATGCAGCTATAGTCCATCCGTGTTTATGGAATAAAGGGATGAAACATCCGTGCTGTAAACCTGTGTATTCAGTTATCTACTGTGCAATATTTACAACAATGTAATGATCATCTATCCCATAATTAGTTCTCCTGTACTCTCAGTACTTTATGTCATGAACTAGGAGATGTAGCTTATTTTTTACTGGGAGAAGACAGGATAGTATAGGTGTTGAAAGTAAAAAGCTCAATTATGGTTATCAGTAACGAGTTTTGTTTATTTTAAAGATCTTATCAGTATTTATATTTCTGAACTTGGTTTGGGTGTGTGGAGAGACTTTTTCTTTTTTCAGCAGGGGATTTCATTAGGAATTCAATAAAGAATGCCTAATGCAAAACTCAGCTTGCTTTGGGATTTTTGTTCTCTTCTTTGGCCTGAGTTTTGGGAGTTTCTGGTGTTATTTTTTTTTTTTTGCTTAATCTCTTTCTGTGCTGACTACTTATTATATCCTTATTATACCATCTGCCTTCTGTGATTTCAGTGGTGGTTGAAAAATTGTGTCCCATTGCAACTAAGAGCTGTATTTAGTCTCTGGTCACCTTGCATTAACCATTTATAAACTGCATTAATACCAGAGGTCTCTGTCCTTATCTTGTGCTCAGATTCCTCCTACTTTTGGTATTGAACTATTGGTAGATTTTAACTGTTTTGGCTAAAGTTGGTGGTGGCATGTTACTTACAGACTTTTTGTTGACTGCACAGCTCTCTGGCTCAACAACAGAACCTTTCACACTAATCTCTGGACACAGTATTAGCACTTGGCAAGGCTGCATTATTCTAATTCAAATCCTTCATGTTATTTGATGCAGCATCATCCTTCAAATTTGAGTGAGAGGGCCAATTTGTTACAACCACTGTATTAGTTCTGCCACTGTTTCGGCTATGATTTATTCTTCTGTTGCTATTTTTTTCCCCAATATCATTGGGAAACTTCATAGCAAGACAACAGCTCCTGAACAGTGGTGTGATGTAAATGGATGGGTAAGAAAACTAGTGATACTACAGTTAAAGCTATGCATCCATCTTTAATGCTCTTCTTTTACACCATGTATATTAATAATATATTACTGATGTATAGGAAAGAAAAGCAAATGGCTAATCGAGTGTGTGGGTGGTGGCTCAGCAAATATACATATCCCCATTGAGACATCCATTGTCCTAGCAGCTGTGGATTCCCGACATGCTGCAGTTCTGGAAACCTCCACACCATATACTTGGTATCCTTCATTTAACTCTTGGTGGTCGAATTCAGATCACAAGAAGCAGGGTCTCACCACTGCCACCAGGGATAAAGAATTTAAATAATTTCATATAAAACTCAGCTTTGTGATGGAATTCCTGGAAGTACAAGAATTACACTGATGTTATGGGGCAACCAATCAACATTCCCAATGCTTACCAGAGTACCTGGTATTTT